CCTATCGGACCCAGCGTGTATCTCAAGAAGGCTATAGGGGTCTGATCAACCTCTCGCCTCTCCCCGTCGCCGCCTGATCCCTCGACATACCCTTCCCTGCGCGCAAGTTCCATGGAGCCTAGCAAACTTCGTGTGAGTGAATCCAGAGCTCTACCCGGGTTCGAGTCCTGCAGGTTTATCTTCCCGTCGCCGAAACCCCATTGCGACGTACTCTCGAGGTTTTTGTTCATCTTCCCGTCGCCGAAACCCCATTGCAACGTACCCTCATGTTCTGCAGGTTCGAGTTTAGTTTTGTTTTGTAACTGCAACTCAAGCAAGTTTTCCTGCCTGCACCGCGACCATCTTCGGTGTAAGTAAAATAATCTTAAATGAACCACTAAGCGTCCGTGCCTAATTCTAGCGTGCCGCCTGCCTTCCCCGACCCGGCGTGTCCGGGCTGCTGGCCACAGCCCGCCACGCGGAAAAAGGGCCTCGGACTGCTCCCGGCCCGCATACCCCCCAATACCCCAGCTGGGGTAGTTGTGAGGGGCCCATGAGGCAAGGGGGCTCCTTTCCACTCAGGAGCCCCCTTCCAGCTTTGGCCAGGCAAAGCAGCTGGCAGCTCTGTGCTGGCTGTTCCCTTTCCTTCCTCCCTCCCTCAGTGACAGCCCCGGAGCTGGGGGATGGGGCAGGGTGGGGCTAGGGAGAGGGGGGGGTTCGGCGCCCCCCTTGTCTGTATTTTGTATTTCAGTACAGTATAGGATATTATCCACTTTAGTTATTTTAATGTGGAGGTGTGATTTTTTTTTTTTTCCCCCCCCCCCCACCCCCCCCCCCCCCACCAGCTGCTTCCCCCAACTGACCCAGCAGGCAAACTTCTGGGTAGAGTAGGAGTCTCTAACTCATGGTGTATTTTGTAAAGCACCATGAGTTAGAGTGGGCCCCTAAACGTCTGTAGGCACCCTAAGGTTGCTATAGTAAATCAGAAAGGTACTCCTGGCCCATGTCTCAATGAAATCTGTTATGCGGTAGCTACTCCTTTTTCCATCTGAGAGGTGAGAATTTTATACTGGCTTTTCTTACCAGTGGCTCTGCTTTGTCTTGTGACCTGTCTGCTGTCTACTTTCAGTGGACTTAGAGCAGGGGTAGGCAATTATTTCAGCTGGAGGGCCACTTAATGAGTTTTGGGGAGCTGTCAAAGGCAACAAGGGTAGCCCCGCCCCTTGACAGGTGCCCTGCCCCCTGGTTGCCATCTTGGGACTGGAAGCCCCTCCCCTACCCCTACTCCTACCCCCTGACCTTTGGCACTGGATGTCCCTGCCCTTGTTCCTGGAAATACTCCTTTTGGGAAGGGGGTTTGCAATCTTGTAACTGGAAAAAAACAAATTCTATGCTAAAAATAACATCCACAATAACATATTTTAATTTTATTTAAAAAAAATATTTTTGTCCTGATTTGTATGTTTGCACCATGTATATAGAGGTGACTGGATAATAGCTCAAAATAAAGTCTTACTCTCCCCCATTATACAAGAGTATGTAGAGGACTGGGGAGGTATGGGTGGGTGCATATGGGATTTGTGGGGGGCTGTCAGTGTGTGTGTGTGTGTGTGTGTCGGGGGGAAGGGTGTGGGTGGGTATAGGGTTTGTGGAGGGGTGTGTGGGTGCGTGGTGGGGTGTGTGCACATAGCAGTGAGCAAGGCTTCCCTCAGAGGCATGCAGGTGTGTGTGGGGTGGGGGGTGCATGTGGGGAAGGGTGTGGGGGAGGTTATGGGTGGGTGCAGTGTCTGTGGGGTGTGTGATTTGTACGTGGGGGAGGATGTGGTTCTGGGGTTTGTGGGTGAGGGTTTGTGGGTATGGTAGCGTGTGCATGGGAGCCCCCCATGCACACCCCCCTGAGCCAGTCAGCACCTGCCCTCACCCTGCAACAGCCTGGAGCCTGTGCGCCCTGCAGCGCCTCCCTACCACTGTCAACAGTGCACAGCTCCAGCCCTGTCCCATGCCCACTCCGAACTCACCCTGGCAGGAGCAGATCAGCCAGAACCCACATGCACAGCCCCAACCCCAGCCCGCCCCATGCTTGCTCCACACGGCCCGCCTGTGGCACATCTTGTCATCCCTTGGGCATGCAGCAGGGCTGGGACAACTCCACGGCTGGACTGCCTTTCTAGGCAGCCCAGGTGGCAGTGGCTCCTTTGGGCTGCCACTGCCGCTGGCCTCAGCCCCATGGTACCAGTGGGAACCCATGCGCACAGCCCCGACCTGACCCACCCTGCGCTTGCTCTAGACTTGCCAGTGTTGAGCAGTGGCAGCAGTAGTGACAGTCAGACAGAAACTGTTCCTCAGCGTAAGAGAACAGCAGCCTCTCTCCTTTGCCGCTGCTGGGCCCTTCTTGCTGCAGCCACTTGGAGCTCACGCTGGGCTGCCCTGCATCTCCGGTGCTGTCACCACTGCCTCCGGGCTGCCCAGCAGGGCAGCGGTGGCAGCACAGAGCAGACACAAGGCAGCCTGGCGCAGGCTTCGGGTGGCTGCAGCAGGAAGGGCCTGGTAGCAGCAAGGGGAAGGGGCCACTTTTCCCCCACCCAGGAACAGTTTCTGCCCGGCAGCCACCTCTGCTTTCACTGCTGGCAAGTGTGGGGCAGGCAGGAGTGGGGCAGGCAGGGGGGGGGGTGGAAATTTTGGACATACCCTTGGCATCCACCCTCCACCACTGTATGAAACAGGACACTGGGCTAGGTAGGTCTATGATCTGACCCAATAAATGGCAGTTTCTTACGTTCTAACACTTTGTTTAAAAAACAATGATATCTTTCTTTTTAAGAGCATAACTGAGAACAACTCTGCTTCTGAGTCTTCAGAAGAGCTAATACAGGGTTACTCTTTTGGAGAAATATGGCAAGATCTTCTCTCACCTGAGCTACAGGTAAGTGGATCAGAGAACATTATGTGTATATACTGTATTTTGCTTTTAAACAATGTATACATTGTCTCTAATTTGTATAAGGGCGTCTTAACTTGTTTATCCAGTGCACTGCAGACTGGAACAACTTGGCTACGGTGAAATTCTTTGCAATGCATTTCATAGTTAATGAAACGGAGAAGGCTTTTCTTCAAGTGGTTGTTCATATGCATGTTTTCCCTGTGGGTACTCATGTGCTTCAGCCACTTGAGCTTGGAGACTTTTTGGCGCTAGTAGTATCCATAAATGACATGCACATCTCCACTCTCCATGTGCTCGACATTGAAGGCATAGAGGTCAGTGTGCAGAGGTGTAACAAAGTAATTTGGTATGAGTAGTCGGAGTATGGTGCCCATACACAGGGGCAGCATCAATTTCTATGTAGTTCCGTGCAATTGTGCAGGGGCAAAAAAAAAAGTTGTTGCCACTGCACAACTCAGCATCTCGGGGAGCTGCCCGGGTGCCCACCCTTGTTACGCTACTGGCACAATCAGTTTCCCACTCTTCAGTCCTCCTCAGCTGCCCCGGCTTGCTTAAAAGGCAGCACTCTTTCTAGTCTGCTCACATGTAGACTATGGCCCTTTGAACATTTTTTTGCACCTATTTTTCTTCCTTGTCATTTTCCCCTGTTTTCTGCTGTCCTTGAGACTGCTCTCTTGCTTTCTTCAATACAATTTTCCATTGATTTTTTTTTTCAGTTCTCCATCATGTACTTTATTACAGTCTCAGGCCCTCTTTTAACAGTCAACCATGTGGTATTTCCTCCCCAACCATCCTCACATCCTTTAAATGCCTTTTTTATAATTGAAAATCTTTTGCTTTTTAAAAAGGCAGTCATTTCAGTACTACATCTCTCATAAAACTTGCCAAAAACTCGTGTCAAATTGAGTGGTTGTGAAAGGGTTAACAGTGGGCTGCAACCCCCCCACAACACACACACACACACCCTGTTTCCAGGAAGGCACAGAGAAACTAGCAGCCATCTTGTAGCACAGTGTCTTCATGAAAAAGCCAGCTCTAGGTCATGGCTCTGGAAAAACCTTTTTTTCTATATTCTGCCTTTCAAAAAAACAAGGCACGCATCTTATTTGGGGACATGTGGCATTAGGCTGTGGCCTTGAACCCAGGGCCTTGGTCTGCCTGGCAAAGTGGCTCACCCTGGTCTGCCACCTCCCTAATGGAACACTGGGGTAGACCCAGCTGGCCAGAACCCTCCATCTGGGCCTAGGTGTACACCCACACTCTGCCACTGAAGTGGCCAGCCAAAGTCAGCTGACATCTTACCCCTTCCCATATAGGACCCTGGCCTGGAAGTGGAAGTGCTCAGGAAACAAGGTGCAACCTTGTACCTAGGCTGCTGCGCCCTTGGATTGTGTTGCGGCTGAGTTTAACCAATTCTTTGAATACTTGACCTAGCTAGCCTCCTGACCTTACATTCTGCCTGACCTCTTGGACCTCCAGTTTGGTTTCCCAGATAGATCTCCTGGGATCTTCTGGCTACTTCCAACTCTGACCCAGACCTTGGTGCCTGCAGCCCATCACAAGTTGCCTGGACCACCACATGTGGCAAAGGGGGTTCAGCATGGAGGCAGATTCTGTACTGGTGCCCCCAGATCCACTCAGGCCAGAACAGTTGGCAGATAGCTTTTGCTCTGAAGATGCTAAAAGATCAGGTCTGGCAGGTGTTGGTGGAGAATAGGTCCCTCTGCTCCCATGTCTACCAGCTCTACAGTGAGGTTTCCATGTGTCAGCCTCCCACCTGGAACCCCACTTAACAGTCCCTTTACCAGCAAGGTACGATGGTGTCCGGCTGTATTTCCACGGGTTCCTCATGCAATACCTCAGCCTATTCATAGCCCAACCTGAGCTCTACTCTGGAAACACATTAAGGGTGAGGCTAGTGGTTAGTCTCTTAACAGGAGATGCTCTGAAGTGGGCTGCACCTTTGGTGGAGCACAATAATTCAGTTCCAGATTGAAGAGCATTCCTCACGGACTTCACAGCCATGTTTAGAGACCCTCACCCAGTCTGGACAGTGGAGGTTGTGCTGTGGTCCCTACATCAGGGGGAAGATTCTGTTACAGTGAATGCTTCCCTCTTGTGCTACTATGCAGCGCACACTATGATGGAATGAACCAGCCCAACTCCCTTATTTCTGCTGGGGACCACGGGTGATCAAAGACAAACTGGCTTGGTGGAAACACCCTCAGAATTTGTGTGTGTGGACCTGGCTGTCCAGATTGACCTCTGCTTCTGGGAACTCAGAGAGGAAAAGAAAGAAGCCTTGATCCCTCCCGGGTCTTACTGTACTATGGTAGCTCCCGACCCCATGCTAGCAGGTAGGGGCTCTGACACCCCATACCAGAAGAATGGGAACACCACCAGCAGTAGCAGTAGTGCCATGATGATGGGGCCTCCGGACAAAAGCACACCACATGCCCCCAGAGAAGAGGTCAAGATGAATGAGTGATCCCAGGCCTGGTAAAGGGAACTGGCTCAGAGTCATCCAGAGTCCTCAAGGCATCCCTAGCCCATGAAGTTTGTGGCATACCCAGCCCAAAAAAGGCCCAGGTACTGTTATCTGCCCACCTCCAAGTCCTGGGTCAGAACCACTCATTCCCTGTGATGACCATCCTGCTAGACTCTGGAGCTGCAGGTAATTTCATAGACGAGGCCATGATACGAAGGCTATAAATTCTGTGAAGGGGATGATACAAACCTGAAACCATAGAGCTCATAGATGGCTTGCCCCTGGCTTTGAGGCCTATGGAATGGGAAACCTCCACCCTCAAGATGAATCTCCTGCTACACAGGGAAACTATATGCTTTGGGGCCATTTGCTCCCTGCACTACCCTTGTTTGTAGGGTGCCCCTGGTTTGTGTGCGACAACCTACTAATCAGGTGGAGAGCCTGGGAGGTCCACCTGAACTCAGACTACTGCCAGCAACGCTGTAGGAAGACAAGGGGGACAGATCCCCCTACAATCCAAACTAGAGGCCTGCCTGCTGCAGCCCCTCCAGAGGTGCCATTTCCAGAACCCATTTGCCCAGGAAACACCAGGAGTTCACAGACTTCTTTAAAAAAAACCCAAAACAGACGTTCTTCCTTCACATCAATATAACAATGGTCCTATCAGCCTACAGCCAGGAGCAAAAATTCCTATGGGTTGTATTCACGCTATGTCAGAGCCTGAACTCTCCACCCTCTGCAAGTACCTAGGTGAGAACCTGGCCTGGGGTTTTATACACAGGTCCACTTTACCTGTGGGAGCCCCTGTCCTGATTATTTAAAAAAAAAAGGACGGGAATGTTTGTTTATGCATCTATTACCAGGCACTGAACCAGTTTACTTTTCATAATCAGTAACTTCTACCCCTCATCCCAGAGCTGCTTGATTAGCTCAAAATGGCTTGAATCTGCTTCAAACTTGATCTTCAGGGAGTCTATAAGCTGGTGTGAATCTGTGCTGGGGATGAATGGAAGACTGCTTTTAGGGAGGTATGGGCATTTTGAAGACCTAGTCAAGCCCTTTGGACCACCTAACACCCAAACTCCTTTCCAACACCTTCTCAGCAACATGCTATGAGACCTACTGGACCAATTTGTAATTGCCTACCTGGACAACATTCTGATTTTCTCAGAAGAACCTAGCTGGCATGCAACACACCTCTGAATAGTACTGGAAAGACTGTGCCAACATGGCCTGTTTGCCAGATTAGAGAAATGCACTTTCAACCAAATGACAATCAAGCTTCTTGGATTTGTTCTATTTCCAGAAGGCCTGAAAATGGACCCGAGGAAGGTTCAGGCCACCTGTGAGTGGAAACCCCATCAAATGTCAAAGAGCTCCAGAGTTTCCTAGGATTTGTGGCTTTTACCATAGATTAATTACAAACTTTGCCTGGCTGGTAAATCTCCTTACAGAGTTATTGTGGAAGAACGTCCAGTTCTACTGGTCCAAGGAGCACCAGCAAATGTGCAGGCACCTGAAATAGGCCTTCACCTCTGCCCCTGTGTTTGCCCATCCAGACCCTGCCCTGTCATGTATGATAGAAACAGATGCATCTAACACCACTATAGGTGTAGTGCTCTCCCAACGGCAGAGCCTAGAACAGACCCTACACCCTTGCTCTTTCTTTTCCAGAAAACTTACCACAACAGAACAGAATTATAAGATCCTGGATTGGGAATGCCTGACCACCTGCATGGTCTTTGGGGAATGGCAGCACTGCCTTGAAGGAGTGCAACACAAGATACAGGTCCTCACAGACCAAAAGAATCTAGAATACTTTACCCAGACAGAGCCTATGGTCCCAGCCTCCACACAGACGGAGCCCTTGACGCTAGGCTGCAAGGGCTGCCTTGGCATGTCTGCTGGAGATTGGGAGCTGGGGCACTCGCAACCCCACTTGTGGGATGTGCTCACTGGTGGAGACTCTGGTGGACTGGGTAAGGGAGCTCTAGGAGAAGGTGAACAGGCTGTGAGTCATCAGGGAACGTGAGGTCGAGATAGAAGTGTACTGCCAGGTCCTGCACCTGGAGAAGTATGCCAGGGAAACCAGGCAGAAGAACAGGTTTGAGCAAGATGACCCAACCAACGACAGGTGGAAATTGATCACATCAGGCCCAAAGCCACAAGGTGTATCAGTTGCTCCACCAATAGCCCTACACAACAGCTATGCAGCTCTCACAGCATCGATGGACGGGGCAACCATGTCCTCTGCACTGCAAACAGGATGGGAATAGCCACTCCCACCAAGGAAAAAAAGAAGGGTGATTGTCATGGGAGACTCCCTCCTGCAGGGCACAGAAGGAGCCATTTGTCATCCAGACCCTCTTGCTCAAGAGGTCTGCTGTCTTCCAGGAGCCAGGATTCGAGATGTTACGGAAAGGATCCCTAAGCTGGTCTGCCCTGTGAACCCACTACCCCATGCTCCTTGTCCATATGGGCACCAAAGACACAG